GCAGATATAAACAAATCATATATCAATAGATGCGAAAGAAGTAGGCCTTAAATGATATGAAAATCACACACGACTCATGCGAAAAAAAAAACAACATTCCCATTCAAACGATGTAAATTTTCTTTCCTACCTGATACTTCTGCTCAGCATTCGTACTCTACATATACTTTATAGTTCGCAGCTCTTCAGCTCTACATAGTCCATGCAGCTTGTACTTATTGCGCAGCTCAGACTCAAGTAATTAAACTTTCATTAAAAATAATCATAGAATAAGTAGCAACACCAAGATATCAACAAATGCATAGAACAACATAATTACTATGCACCATTGTAACTTCATCCAATCCACCAGCTTGTAAGAATTTTACAACTGAAATCAGCCATGTCACATAAGCAATAACTCAAAGCTCGTTTACCTACAAAGACTGGAAGCCTTAGAGGTTACTAAGCTATGAGGAGGCCATTCAGGTACCCGATGAACTTACGAAGATAATGTTGATGAATGGACATTCCTTCGTGAAGCGAAATAGAAAATATTTAAATCTTACAAACATTAATTAATATTATTAAAGACTTAGGTGAAATACGGCCAAATGTTTGAGCGATCGTTGCACCTGTCTCAAAGTGGGCGTAATATTCGGTGGATTAAATCATGTAAATCGACCAACTATGCAATAGACGTTCGGTGAAATAATCATTAATGTAACTGGATTGCAGAACAATATGGTTAAATAGAAATTGTTTGGCAGGAGAGTCTCAATAGAACTTATTGATCGTGTCACAAAGCTTTAAGCTTATCGCTCTACCATAAATCCTGATACTCATCATCGCTCTAACTTACGGCAAAGCGTACTATCGTTAATCTCACGTAGTCCATCATCAACCACCGCTCTTATCAATTACAGGATTACTCACTGCTTTTATATGAACTTTGAGCACCACTCTAAGCGACTGTTGCATTAGGGTCGCTTGAAGACACGTTTAATGGCCTTATCATGCATTCAGACTTACAACTGTGGAGAAGTTACTGTCACGTATCGTGGTTCTATCGTTTTGTCAATATAACAATAACCTACAATAGTTTTATTACACATGTTTGACTGCTCATGCAATGAACGCTGGCTAAGATAACATCTATCACCTATATATCAGAAAACCGCCAACAGAGAGTTTGTATACAATAGCAGTAGCTTCCATGGCCTTGGCCACCATCACCTAATGTACTCGTAAGCCTTATGACCTTCACCCAAGATGACAGACGAGAATTGGTGTGGGACAAAATGAGAATGAAAAACAGCGGTTTGACACTACATCGTTTTGCTGTGCTGATGATGTCGATCTCATATCACACATTATTATGTCAGGCGGAACGCTGGACGACTTTGACTATGTGAATCAGATTCATTTCCAGTATCTCACTGACGTAAAGTGTATATCTAGGCCGTAGAGTCACTGCGATAAGCGATTTAGCCAAAATCCTGGTCATTGAAGTGAGCAGAAGCCCTTGGGTAACTCACATGCAACAGGGACAAACGGAAGATCTAGTAGTGCCTGCACGAGTCACTCGACCTGCAACTTTTGCTTTCGTCAGAGAGCACATCCCTCTGAGCAGTCACAGCGAGTAAATGAAAGAGTTGACATCTTATCAATGCTGTCATACACTTCGTGTTGTTCAACGATTATAGGTTTCAAATGACAAAAATATGATAATGTAGATATATCTACAGCGAACTTGTTCCACATAATTGAGGAAAAAGTTTTCCAACGCTCACGAAAATTTCGAATATCATGTTCAAAAAACCATTAAAAATATAAATATCTGGCATATTGAAATCTGAGCGTGGCTTAAGAAAACATTTGAAACGAAAGGTATAATATATCAACGATACAACCCAAGAGCAATCGAGTGTACAACACCGTCCATTCAAATATACCCTTTGAGTAAAGTGATAGCAAAACTTTCGCATCAGGCGGGACTCGAACTCACACCTCGCTCTATCAGAGCGAGTGCTCTAACCCTTGCGCTACTGACGCTCATTTTGCACAACACTCAAATAGGTTCAATAGCGATACCGACTATCCTGGCCAGGCCGTTGATGGTTGGCGGCTGGCAGATAGACACGTAGTAGCGTAGAAAGAGTGGTGCGCAAAATGGGCGCCAGTAGTGTAACGGATAGAGCACGCGCTCCCGGATAGAGTGAGATGTGGGTTCGAGTCCCGGCTGACGCGAAAGTTTTGCCATCACTCTACATTAAAAGGTATATGGGGAAATTCATACCATCGCCAGAAGCAAATAAATAAAAAGGATTCTATTTGATCATTATCGCCCATTCACTCATAAATTCACTTAATGGGGGTGTAAAATGTTCTTCGTCGCCTACTCTGAGTATAGGGGATTGGAGCACCCCGAAAGGATTGACAAAAGGCGAAGGGTACCGCCCTACTGAAGAGACTGTCAAGGTCGAAACAAGTGTATCGAGCTCTATAAGTTGCCGTGTAACAGACCCACATGCGTGGCTCAAAAAATGATTATCTAGCATGTTGAAATTTTGCGCGTGGTCCTAAGAAAACACTAAGAGCGAAAGGCTTAATTTTATATCCGTTCCACACAATATTGTTTTATTGTTAACTCATGCAAATATCTCAGGAATATTTTCATAAGAAACTCCCACAGTAGCGTTAGTTATAGTGCATCACGTTATAATTTACTCTTCGAATATAGAACTCATCGAAAGCGCGTGTTTTTCAGTAGGGCAATGCCAAACTTCACACAATATATAAGAATAAGGAAAAGTTCGTTGAATTGAAAGGAGTCAAGGTTTTGTCGCACCCAGTCTACAGTCCAAATGCTGCGCTACCGATTATGATCAGAATTCCGCCTAATGCAACATTTCCTACATGGACGTCGATTCGTAACATTTCATGAAGTTGAGAAAGCAGGTGAGGAGTTTTTGATTCTAATCCCAAGGATTGACGATTTCTATCGAATTCGGAATTTTGCAGATCGTTGCCAGAAGATTGTGGATAATGATGGTCTTTATTTTAAAGAGTACTTTGTGCTTCGAGTGTTTTCTTGAGACTACGCTCAACTTTCAGAGCCCGATACACGTGATTCGGCTTTGACAGCCTCGTCAGTCGGGCAGTGCCCTCCGTCTTTAGCCAATTAACGAGACACAATCCAACCCTTATATAGAGTTTTTGACGACGAAAGTTCTACACATGTCACCATCGAGTTATTTGAAAATATCACTAGATAGGAGCGCTTCCCACTCGATTACTCTTAGCTGGCACTGCTTGAGATATAAAAAAGGCTAAAAAAGAATAATTACCAGGCTTGCTGAAAGTTGAGCGTGGTCTTGAGAAAACACTCGAAACGAAAGGTTTGACATATTTGACGATACTAGCCAAGAGCAATCGAGTATAAAATACTGCCATTTAGTAATATTATAACGTAATGACATGTGTAAATGTTCGTCGTCGCCAACTCCATATAGGGGTTAGGTTCTCCCAAGAGGATTGGCTAGAGACGATGAGTGCTGCCCGACAAACGAGGCTGTCTAGGCCGAAACATATGAATTGGGCTCTATAAGTTGCCCTATTAAAGCCACATCCATGACCCAAAATTGAGCATTTTAAAGAGTAAATTCTGTTGTACCAAATTGGATTCATATACAAACCGCGAGTTTTCAGCGACTGCTAAGGAAGCTACTCTTCAGCCTAACATATGTACAGCAATTGCTGTAATATGAGCGCATGTAGCGCAGTAGTTAGAGGTGCTCTGCTGCGCGCACAAGCTCAATGGCTCGATCACGCGCTCATGGCTCACCCACGCCATTCATCCCTCCGGCGTCGGTAAATTGGTATCAGACCTCTCAGGCTTGTCTGAGATGATAAGCAGCACTGACTCGGTACAGCAGGACGCCACCTTGAGTCACTTGTAAGGATCAGATATGCATTCAATCACCTCAAAACGAAGTTAGAAATTGAAGAAGAATGCTTGGCGCATCCCACAGGGACTGATCAACGCCGAGAGCTCTATCATTTACCCTTTTAACTGCTGTAACTACCTATTCTACGGAAGTTGTTACGAGATAATCTGAATATCTTTATTATGTTTATTACTAAATTGTCACGTTAATCAAGAAGCACGTTAGAAACGCAAGGAAAACAAAATAATGAGGATTTATGTCAATAGGTAAACAGTATTCTGACTCAAGAAACATTTATTGCAAACAAAATCCATTTGGAAATAGTATTCCAAAGAGCAAGCAGTAGCTCACCTTAAAAACCGCTGGTGGCATTTAATTTCGCATTCTGTTCGGCAAATTTTGTTTCAGTTTGTTAAATGGCCCATTTTCACACATATACAAAACCCGCTTCTCCTATTTAATCTATTTTCTGACATCTATGGTCCATGAAGGTCTCGAACATTCCTTAAAATTGGATCGGCTGTTACTTAGACATTTCTGGGCCTTGTCTATGAAAGTTATTAAAACTTGAACTGGTCTAGCAGAAACCTTTTCTAAATTTGAGATAGCTGAGACAGAGCGATGACTGGTCTTCATTAAGGACCTCTGACAGCTATAGTGCATTGGAGAGCGCTCTTAGGCAATTGTAGCAAAAGTGTAATATAACAATACCACGTAATACATATCGTGAATTTACTTAGCGTTTTCAGACGTTTCAGGCAAAATCAGAGCATTTTTGGATAGAGTTCAATGCGAGGAATAAGAAAATGCCAGTGGATGGTGGATCCACTCAGAACGAACTGAGTTATGACGTTTGGAATGTGACGGTGCTATTCTATAAAAGTGTGATACCATATAAAACATAACTTGAATTTCCGAATCATTTTAGAAGTTTAAGTCAAGATAAGAGCATTTTTAGGTAGAGTTAAATGCGAAGAATAAGAAAATGCCAGTGAATAGTGGATGCACATGGAACAGACTGAGTTATGACATTTGAAATGTGACGCTGCTATTCTATAATAATGTGATACCATGTAATTATGACCACAATTTCTTTGGCGCTTTTAGACGTTTCAGGCAAGATCAGAGCATTTTTAGATAGAGTTAACAAACTCTGTAAGAAAGAGGCATAGTGACCAGGATAAGATCTGAATTAGAGACCTTCCATCTATCATATAGCATCACAAATACTACTTCGCTTTCGATTTTCAGTTTTAATCGATAAAAGAACCGTGAATCAAAAGACATATAAATGAAGCAAAAGATTAGCTAGGACCAGTTGCGCTTTCAAACTATTGAAACATCATGTGTTAATGATGATTTACCAGTCATATAGTCAGATATCTTTTTTCTGTGTCAAATAGGCCTCATTGAACTCGACATTTTGATTTTACTTAGAATATCGGCGATTCATTAATGTGTTTGGTTCCAAAGAGCCTTTTTTATTGCGTTGTAGTAGAGCAAATAATATTATACCTGCCATTCACTTTGCTTTGTGAGCTCCGCTAAATCTGTAAATGGTGGCGCTTCGCTAAAATTTTGGCAATCATTTGATAACTCTCATTTCGAGAATTCAAAGCTGAAAGTGGTTTTCACAAAAGTTTCCAAAAACCCTTTATAAGCGAAAGAATATTATGTTTCACACTCGGAGTTCATTCGTAGATGGAAGTTGCCCATTTGTGAAAGGCATTAAACCATGTAGGAGAATTCACAGAGTATCAAATTAACACAAAAAAACTTGGAATTTTCTTAAACGGATTTTAAACTCTGTTCAAACAACGAAATCCGCGCGCCGCGTACGAATTGCGCTGTGCGATCGATCAGCTGCCGATTCTGAAAGGTCCTCTAAATATTAGATGAAACTGCAAGTTTTCAGCGTTTTCACCCCGAAGCGCAAAATTTTTCAGTCATTGGAAGATGAATCTATTTACTTCCCTTCAATGGATATTTTTCGTACATTTTCAAATTATGACTTAGATCGATGCAAAAGACATGATGGTCCGGCTTAACATAACGGAAGCAAAAATAAGGAAAACAGAAGAAAAATTGCACCATGGAAACTTTTTCCATCTCTAGAAATCTGCCCTTTCATGGTTTTGTGACTTATTAATGGATTGCCACCAAAAAAAACTGTTTTGTGAAATTAGTATGTTCAGGTTGCAACATTTGGACGTAGGAGGAAGAGAGAGAAACCATCTACAAATGAATAAAGCATATTGTTTTATTTGACATAATCAAATGAGTACAAGTGAATGGGTACGAATTATTGCGTGCATTTCAACCACATCTGCACTTCTCAGATGCCCTGTTTCATATGCTTTTTCAGCTCTGGAATTTTTCCTACTGCTTCATTGTCATGCAGACGTTATCCATGCAGATGTTCTTTAGTCAGTTTTTGCTGTGGACTATATATTGTAATACCCTCTTCAAATTGATGCATTACATACTCCTCAAATGTATTATTTAATCTAAAATACCGAAGTAACCGAAGTAATTGTGTAAATTGATCCACGGCCTTCAATGACCACAGATAATGTTTTGAGTTAAGAAGGCAGCATGTTGTATTGCAACTCTCGGTGAGCGCATTGAATTGTGTAAATTTGGAGTGTAAACTGTTAGGTGATGTTCTGTCATTGCCACATTTGTTCCATCAGTAATTGAGATTTTCAGTGATTCATTTCAACCGACGTCAGTAATGCTTCCATTCGCCTCTCTTGCTCATCAAAACTCTTCAATATGCGAAATGGATTGAAGGAAGTACGGCAGTACGATCTTCTCATAGGCACTACGTATTGTTAACACTCTGAGAGACATAATGGAGTATGTTGTCATATTCTGCTAGAGCAGATGTGAAGCCCTTCTTGGAGGCCACCATACATTAAAAGACTAAACAGCAGTAGCATGTCATATCCTGCTGAAGTAGGCTGTAGTTTATTGGAGGCAACTACACATTTTTATACGCATTAGTACACACATGCACAAGCTCATGAATATGTAAACATCTATGTGGCAAATTCAAACCAATCCCATAAAAAGAGAAAAGGAATTACACATCAAATTTGTCTGCTTCTAGGAATACCATCAAATTGGTCAGCATCTAACACACGCTTCGCCAAATCGAAAAGCGGTGAGTGGACGAGCAAACATACGGTTCAGAAATCCTTCCAAAAAGCAAATCAATTGCGAACGTAGGAAAAGTATTGAACAGTCCCATAATTTCCTTCGCACTTCGACACTTTTGTTGATTTGAATATCACATGT